GTTAAGAGAGTGGTAAAGCAATGTAAAAAGAGAGCATATGAGAGAGTGGGTGAGATATTATCAAAAAAAAATTTTTAAAATAAGAAAAAGTTTTGGAGTGAGATTAGTAAGTTGAGGAAGCCTAGAGAACAAATGGATTTGACAGTTAAAAATAGGAGAGGAGAGTTATTAAATGAAGAGTTAGAGGTATTGGGAAGATGGAGGGAATATTTTGAGGAATTGTTAAATGTTGATGAAGATAGGGAAGCTGTGATTTCGTGTATAGGGCAAGGAGGAATAACAACTTCTAGAAGTGAGGAAGAGCCAGTTGTGAGTGTGGGGGAAGTTCGTGAGGCAGTGGGTAGAATGAAAGGGGATAAGACAGCTGGGATTGATGTGATAAAGATAGAAATGTTAAAAGCAGGAGGGGATATAGTTTTGGAGTGGTTGGTGCTATTACTTAATAAATGTATGGAAGAGGGTAAGGTACCTAGGGATTGACAGAGAGCATGCATAGTTCCTTTGTATAAAGGCAAAGGGGATAAAAGAGAGTGCAAAAATTATAGGGGAATAAGTCTGTTGACTTATTATAATGGACTTAGGGAACGCCTGTTTGATCTTGATTGGGGTTATCTAGCTAATGATTTTATTGACGATGATCATACTTATGATTATGAAGGGATCTGCTTTTATGATTTTTTTCTTAATAATGTACACCATGCCCAGAGTATATACATTCCCCAGAGAGAAATTAGGTCTAATAATAACGATCCCAAATGGATTAACAGGAGGCTAAAGCATCTATTAGGGGAGAAAAGGGAAATTTATAGGCGCATCAGAAGAGGAGAGGTTAACCTTACTGACCAATATGTTCAGCTTAAAAGAGAAGTAAAAAAGGTGATTAGAAAGGCTAAACGTGACTATGAAATTAGAGTTGCTAATGAATCAAAGACTAATCCAGAGGGGTTCTTTCAAGTGTATAGGACGAAGTTGAAGAAAAAAGTAGGACCTCTGAACATTGGGAATGGACAGCTGACGGATAACGAACTGGAAATGTGTCCCTTATTTAATGACTATTTTTTGTCAATTTTTACACAGGAAGATGTAAATGAGATTCCAGTAATTAACAATTATTTAGCTCCTGATGAATTTAAATTAACTAATATTACTGTCACGAGGGACATGGTTATTAAACAGATAGACAAACTGAAGTAAAATAAGTCCCCGGGACCCGATGAGCTGTTTTGCAGGGTACTTAAGGAATGCAAGATGGAGCTTAGTCAGCCATTAACGATTGTGTTTAATGCGTCCATCCTTACCGGTGTTGTGCCAGAGTTGTGGAAGATGGCTAATGTGGTTCCTATATTCAAATCAGGGGATAAGTCCACTCCTTCAAATTACCGTCCAATAAGCCTGACATCTATAGTGGGCAAGTTATTAGAATCAATTATAGCTGACATTATTAGAAGTCACCTTGAAGAGCATAACTTGATAAATGAATCTCAGCATGGATTCACGAGAGGTCGTTCCTGCCTGACAAATTTACTGACGTTCTTCAATAGAACATTTGAGGCAGTTGGCAGTGATAAAGAATATGATATTGTTTATTTGGATTTTAGTAAAGCCTTCGACAGAGTACCTCACAAGAGACTCTTAAGAAAAGTGGCAGCTCATGGTATAGCAGGTAAAGTTCTAGCATGGATAGAGGCATGGCTTACCAATAGAAAGCAGAGAGTTACCATTAATGGAGTGAAATCTGAATGGGGATTAGTCACTAGTGGCATTCCACAAGGATCAGTTTTAGGCCCTCTCTTGTTCATAATTTACATTAATGACCTTGATGAAGGGATTACGAGTGACTTGAGTAAGTTTGCCGATGATACAAAGATAGGCCGTACAATTCACTCTGAGGAGGATAGTAATGAACTCCAGGAGGATTTGGACAAATTAATGTCTTGGTCTGAAAAATGGCAGATGAAGTTCAATGTGGATAAGTGTAAGGTACTAGCCCTTGGTAATGAAAATAACCCTCGAAGCTATAATCTAGGTGAAGTAGAGCTTGATCATACAGAATGTGTAAAAGACTTGGGAGTTATGGTAAGCAGAAATCTAAAGCCAAGACAGCAGTGCCTTAGTGTGCGCAACAAGGCCAACAGATTACTTGGATTTATCTCAAGAAGTATAAGTAACAGAAGTCCAAAAGTTATTTTACAGCTCTATACCTCACTAGTGAGGCCTCATTTAGATTATGCTGCTCAGTTTTGGTCCCCTTACTACAGGATGGATATAGACTCATTAGAGAACATACAGAGAAGAATGACTAAAATGATTTACTGTGTAAGGAACCTCCCGTATGAAGATAGACTTAAAGCCTTAAATCTCCACTCTCTGGAGAGGCGTAGAATGAGGGGAGATATCATTGAAGTGTATAAGTGGATGACAGGCATAAAAAAGGGAGATATTAATAAAGTGCTGAGGGTGTCGAACCAGGTAAGAACCAGAAATAATGGATTTAAGTTGGATAAATTTAGATTTAGAAAGGACATAGGTAAGTACTGGTTTTCTAACAGAGTTGTAGATGCGTGGAACAGTCTTCCCAGTGGGGTGATAGAGGCTAGGACCTTGGGTAGCTTTAAGAAGAGATTGGACAAATATATGAGTGGGAGGGGCTGGGTTTGATTGGTGTCATTGGGTACGGGAGTTATTTCTTGAGTAGCTTTAGGTATAGGTCGTTTTGATAAGGACCTTCCTCGCATGGGCAGTAGGGCTTCTGCAGTGTTCCTCCATTCTTATGTTCTTATGTTCTTATGAGTATACCTGGTAAAGTGTATGGTAGAGTTATTATTGAAAGAATTAAGAGTAAGACAGAGAGTAGGATAGCAGATGAACAAAGAGGCCTTAGGAAAGGTAGGGAGTGTGTAGACCAAGTATTTACAGTGAAGCATATAGGTGAACAGTATTTAGATAAGGGTAAAGAGGTTTTTGTGGCATTTATGGATTTAGAAAAAGCATATGACAGGGTGGATAGGAGTGCAGTGTGGCAGATGTTACATGTGTATGGTATAGGAGGTAGGTTACTGAAAGCAGTGAAGAGTTTTTACGAGGATAGTGAGGCTCAGGTTAGAGTATGTAGGAGAGAGGGAGATTATTTCCCAGTAAAAGTAAGCCTTAGATGAGGATGTGTGATGTCACCGTGGCTGTTCAATTTATTTATAGATGGGGTTGTAAAAGAAGTGAATGCTAGGGTCTTGGCGAGAGGTGTGGACTTAAAAGGTAAAGAATCAAACACAATTGCTCTTTGCTGATGACACGGTGCTTTTGGGAGATTCTGAAGAGAAGTTGCAGAGGTTGGTGGATGGATTTGGTAGGGCATGTAAAAGAAGAAAATATATATAGGAATATAGGAAAGAGTAAGGTTATGAGGATAACAAAAAGATTAGGTGACGAAAGATTGAATATCAGATTGGAGGGAGAGAGTATGGAGGGGGTGAATGTATTCAGATATTTAGGAGTGGACGTGTCAGCAGATGGGTCTATGAAGGATGAGGTGAATCACAGAAATGATGAGGGAAAAAGGGTGAGTGGTGCACTTAGGAGTCTGTGGAGACAAAGAACTTTGTCCGTGAAAGCAAAAAGGGGAATGTATGAGAGTATAGTTGTACCAACACTCTTGTATGAGTGTAAAGCATGGGTGATGAATGTTGCAACGAGGAGAAGGCTGGAAGCAGTGGAGATGCCATGTCTGAGGGTAATGTGTGGTGTGAATATAATGCAGAGAATTCGTAGTTCAGAAATTAGGAGAAGGTGTGGGATTACCAAAACTATTATCCAGAGGGCTGGGGAGGGGTTATTGAGGTGGCTCGGACATGTAGAGAGAATGGAGCAAAACAGAATGACTTTGAGAGTGTATAAATCTGTAGTGGATGGAAGGCGGGTTAGGGGTCGGCCTAGGAAGGGTTCGAGGGAGGGGGTAAAGGAGGTTTTGTGTGCAAGGGGCTTGGACTTCCAGCAAGCTTGCATGAGCGTATTTGATAGGAGTGAATGGAGACAAATGGTTTTTAATACTTGACGTGCTGTTGGAGTGTGAGCAAAGTAACATTTATGAAGGGATTCAGGGAAACCGGCAGGCCGGACTTGAGTCCTGGAGATGGGAAGTACAGTGTCTACACTCTGAAGGAGGGGTGTTAATGTTGCAGTTTTATAACTGTAGTGTAAAGCACCCATCTGGCAAGACAGTGATGGAGTGAATGATGATGAAAGTTTTTCTTTTTCGGGCCACCCTGCCTTGGTGGGAATCGGCCGATGTGTTAAAATAAAATAATATATATGTCATGCCGAATATGTAAAACTGGTCAATTAGCAAGGACTCATTTAAAATTAAGTCCTTTCTGAAATTTTCTCTACGCTTAAAGATATATTTTTTTATTAATGTTAATGTGAAAATTTTTAATTTTGCACCAAAAGAATCTTAGAAAACTTACCTAACCTTATTATAACAAGAGCAATTTATTTTAGCCTAACCCAACAAAATATATTTTAGATTTGTTTACAGTAATTTAATACTAAACAAACACAGTGAAATATAATTTTTTAGCTAGGTTCAGAATGATTTTGGCGAAATTATTGCATACACAAATTTTCACTTGTCCTATATGGCAAGATGAGCGTTGCTATTTAAGCCAAGATCGCAAGTTCTGCCTATTCGGCAGATTTATATATATATATATATATATATAATATATATATATATATATATATATATATATATATATATATATATATATATATATATATATATATATATATATATATATATATATATATTATATATTATATATATATATATATATATATATATATATATATATATATATATATATATATATATATATAAATCTTACTATCTTTAATATTTTCGTTGTGCATACTTTGATCCCTGCGCTCACTGCGATCATAGTGATATACATATTTTGATCGCTGTCATCACTGTGTTCATCTTGCTGAGTGGTTATTTTCCACAGAATGGGTCACCGCTGGATATAGTGAGTCATGATCGCTCTACTCCTCTCAAACTCGCCATCAAGAACAAGTGTGCCCAGTCACTCGCCAAGCTCATTGAGGTACGTCTGTACTGTCTGTCTCAATCTTGATATCGATCCGTGTTCTATTATCCGAGTTCTATTATCTATTGGATTAGTGCTGTCTATCAGGGTCTTCACTGATGACAGTCTTTCCCCAGCAGCATCCATAATATTCTTCCAAAAAGCAATATCACTAAAACATTACCTCCCCCAAAAAAGTCACAAAAACATTTCTCCAGAACAACGTTACTAAAACATTTCCTCCGCAGAATAACGTCTTAAACATTTTTTTTTCTCCCCAAAGTAACACTAGAAAAATTTTTTCTTCTCAGAGTTACTTCAGGAAATTTTAATCTTCCCAAGAGTAAGGAAAAAACTTTGGAATAGTTAGAATAAAATTCTCCTTAGAATAACGTCGGACAAAGTTTTCTTCCCCATAACAAAGAAAATAATTAGAATGTAATCACAGGTACAAAAGAAAACTCCCCTGAATAGTATTTGAGAAGTGTTTTTTTCTCCAAAATATCGTCTTAAATAATAAAATCAGAATAACGTAGCAAAAGTGCTTTTCTCCATAGAAAAGCATTCCCCCCAACACCACTCCTAGCAGAACATCCACAACAGCATTCCTAGAACATCATCTCCCGAACAGCATCTACAGAAAAGCATCATGAGAGCAGCATCCCCAGAACAGCGTCCTCATAACATACCCAGAACAGCATCCCCGGAACAACATTCCCAGGACAGCATCCCCAGAACAACATTCTCAGACCAGCATCCTCATACCCAGAACAGCATGCCCAGAATAACATTCCCAGGACAGCGTCCCCAGAACAACATTCTCAGACCAGCATCCTCATAACATACCCAGAACAACATCCCCATAACATACCCAGAACAGCATTCCTAGAACAACATTCCCAGAACAGCATCCCCATAACAACATCCTAGAACAACATGACAACTGCCTCTCTACAGCTTGGTGTAAACGTGGACGCCACAGCCAACAACATGGAGCCACCACTTGTCATAGCGGTCAGAGCTGATAATGCGGATGCCGTCGTCGCTCTTCTGCAGGTGGGTGTCCTAGCGTGTCCAGGGACAGGCGAGGATGTCCTGGGGAGACAACGGTTGTCCTGGGTGAGGTGATGAAGGGTGGAGGGTGTTAGTAAGTTCTGCTGTGGTTTTGGTTTGTGCTGGCCCTGGCAACCTTTGCTCTATTATATATCTATAATCTATATGAAATATATTAATGCTAATGTGGATAGATTCTGCAGTCAGGACACAGCTGCGGTCTGTGATTTGCCTCCGAGGATTGCATACTGATTGCAGGGGGCTATGAAAGTTAACTATGATTTATGAGTAAGTATAATTTAAAATTTGATATTGTCTATTATTTCACTTGTTAGACTTAACAGAGAAAAATAATGTATCCAGTGCACAAGGGGGGTGTGGAGGTTTTCCCCACGTCATGACGCCTAGACCTGTTGGTGAAGAAGTCATGACGCAACCTGCTTTAAGCTACAGCATATGCTGAACAATACTTACAATGCTGTCCCTGTTCCCGCCCTCCTTCCCATCCCAATGAGATTGTCTTTTGCTGAAAATTGGTTGAGTCTTTGTAGCCCTCGTCAAGGCACTTACGTCCGGTGTCAGATTCGCTATGTCCTCTGAGGGATAATTCTATTGTCCACTGTACTTTGAGTTCGACTCTAGTTTAAAAGAGAGAGGGAAGGATGTACTCACCTAGTTGAGGTTGCAGGGGTCGAGTCCAAGCTCCTGACCCCACTGACTGTTTAACAGATGTTTTCCTCGCTGCGTCTAGTGACCAATTACTCCTATTTCTAGACAACACTGACCTTAGTTTAATATGTAACTAAGTAGAAACGTGTATTTTCAAGTACAAAATTTGTTACACTTACTGAAACTTTACTAAGGTAACTTAGCTCAAGGCATTCACTTAATTTTCTGTGAGTTTCCTCCACTTACACCTTCATTGGGCTCTGAGAGCAATTTGCCATCTAAAAATGTATTCGCGCACATTTTGGGGCCCCATGCAAATTGCTTTCAGAGGAGAATTGTCCTCACTCTGGTCATTGGGCACTAATCAGCCTTTTATTTATCAAAATTAGATACAATAGTCGTGTGCTGCTACCTATTATATATGATGAATACATAGTGGGAACTAAAGGTAATTATACTTCCCTCCATCATACAAAATAGGTAATAGTGCCGAAATCCCTCAGCCTGAGCTGGGAGACTTCGGTAGGGCAATGAGGATATAGTCAAGTATTATACTAAAGGTTCATTAGCTACGGGAGCTTCAAAGGTTTCATCCCAGTAGAGCTGGAGTTACTATTTCTTGGGCATTGCCATCTCTCTGGATGGCCTTTCTTTGGAAATCGTGGGCACTGGTAATCCTTTCCGAAGTTGTGGTGGGTACTGATCAGTTTTCCTGTGGAGGTAGTAGATACCGATATGTTTTCCTGAAGAGGTGGTAGGTATTGGTAATTTTCCATTGGCAGGTTCTGATGTGTCACCTGTGGAAGTTGTTAGTGGTGGATCCTGTTGGATCTCTTGAGAAACTTGGTGGATACCGGAAAGTTCCCTGGATTATGTGATGGGGGGTATTGTGGGGTATATACCTTTGATGAGTTTCGAGAGTCTACTCTCGGAACCCGGCCAGGCTCGTTTGGTTCTTGCCTGGTCAACCACGCTGTTGCTGCTAGAGGCCCGCTGCCCCACATATCCATCACAGACTAGTTGATTAGGCACCTGGAGTTTACCTGGTGAAGATACTTGTCCAGTTTTCTCTAGAGGACTTCTACACTTGTTCCAGTAGTGTTTCTGATATCTTTTGGTAAGATGTTGAATAGTCTGGGGCCACGAATGTTGATACAGTGTTCCCTTATTGTGCCTACCGCACCCCTGCATTTCCTTCCATATCTCTCTCTCTCTCCAGCATGTTGTTATGGCAGTGTGCAGATTTGAGACCAGGCCCTCGAGTACTTTCCAGGTATATATTATGAATCTCTCTCTCCTCCGCTCCAGTGAGTACAGTTCAAGACTTTAAGGCGTTCCAAGTAATTTAAATGCTTTACTGGCTCTAAACGATCTCTGTATTTGTTCCAGCTCTGATGTTTCGCCTGCCTTGAACGGGGCCGTCAACACTGAGCAATATTCCAAATGAGGGAGCACTAGTGATTTGAAGACTGTCACCACTGGCATTATTTCCCTTGTTTTGAAAGTTCTCAGTACCAACCACGTCATCCTCCTGGCTGTCGTGAGCTTTGTCTTATTATGTTCTTTGAAAGAAAGGTCAGCTGGCATAATTATTCCCAAGTCTTTCACGTGTTCCTTTCGTTCTATTTGGTGTTCCTCTTGAGTGTTCCTTTTGAGTTCTTCATTCTTTCCGTACCTAAGCAGCTGAAACTTATCACCATTAAACGTCATGCTGTTCTCCACTGCCCACTGGAAAACACTGCTTATATATCTCTCTAGTTTTTCAGTGTCTTCTACCGTAGTGACTTTCATGCTTATTTTAGTGTCATCTGCAAATGACGATACAAAACTGTGACGGGTGTTTTTATCTATGTCTGCTACGAGGGTGAGAAACAGCAGAGGGCAGAGGTACCAGGATAGTGCCTTGGGGAACTGAGCTTTTTACCTAGCTGATGCTGAATTTTGCTCTGTTTGCTACTACTACTTGTTGTGTACTGTGTATTAGAAACTAAAATCCATCTGCCTACCTTCCCCGTAATACCTATGGCGCTTATTTTGAGCGCTCTCACTTAATAATTGCATTTGCCAGACGCCTTTGCATAATCTGTGTATATCACATCTGCGTTTTGGTCTCCTTCCAACGCCTCCGTAATTCTGTCAGGTGGTTCAGCAGCTGTGACAGACATGATCGTCCGGCTCTAAAACCATGTTGGTTCGGTTTATGCTGGTTGTGCTGGTCCAAATTCCTCTGTTTTCTCCTAGCAATCTCCTTCAAATCCCCTCACATTTTCCTGCACTCATTAACTCACATATTTGTATCTTTGTCTTTTCATTTCGCTTTTCACTTCCAAATATATCTATTGCATTTTCTCTTATTTTCTAACGTTCTCTCCGCTCCCCTTTCTGTAGGCCAATGCAAAATACGAAGGATTGATGATCCCAGTCAAGAACAGCCCAGAGAGTCTGGATCTGCTGACATGGGCCACCAGGAATGGTCATACTGATGTCGAGACTATCATCGTGAATATGAAGGCAGAGAACGAGGAGGAAGGAGGCATTGAAGGTGGAAATGAAGTAGAAAATGTAGGGGATGTCATTGCTACTGAAAAAGAAGGTAAGGAGCCAGAGACTGACTCGACCAGAGAGGCAGGTGATGGTGCTGAGGAGGTGGCGGAGACTACTGATCCCACCATGGTGGAAGACGCACCGGCAGATGACGCACCAGCAAGTGATAGGCCGCTAGAAGATACAGCAGCAGAAGACGCACCAGCAGAAGACGCACCAGCAGAAGGCGCACCAGCTGAAGATGCACCAGCTGAAGACGCACCAGCGGAAGATGCACCAGCGGAAGATGCACCAGAGGAAGACGCGCCTCCGGAGGATGCTCCTGCTGAAGACGCGCCAGTAGAAGACGCACCAGCAGAAGATGCACCAGCAGGAGATGCACCAGCAGGAGATGCACTGGCAGAAGACGCACCGGCAGAAGATGCACCGGTAGATGCCCCTGCAGAAGATGTAGCCGCGGAAGAGGCACCAGGTGAAGAGGCACCAGGTGAAGAGGCACCAGCCGAGGCTGAAACAAACGAGGGCCCAGTCGGGGAGGTGAGTGCAGAATAAATATGATACCCGCCTCGGATAAGGGCGCCCTCTGGCGGGTTCCTGCACTTCCCTTCAACTGAATTCATAATGTAATATGAAGGATTAATACTGATTATTATAAAAGATATTCAGTTAAAACTTACTGCATATTAGTAAACACTTCAACCTAATACTTTCAATGCTTTCTTTTTATGTCAAATTCTACACTTATTGTCCTGGTTGCTCTGCTGTGGATGGCATCTGAGATGTAAATAAACACCTTAGATGGCAGCATTTCTCAGCTCGCTTCATTACGTTATCTCGAAATTTTCCTTAGAGTGTTACTCTTAAGCCTGGCTCCTCTTCACTTGGAATTTGTGTTAAATATCTGTAATATGTGTGTGTGTGTGTGTGCGTTATATAGATGACAGAGTATAAATATGGAAACGTAATAAATGCAACTGATTACTCTTTTGGAAGAGTGTAAACTAAATTCTAGAGGCCTAGTACAAATTCTACTGTTGCTTCTTTACAGGGTACCCCTGCATTGGGTAACTGGTTACTATAGTTAGGTAAGTCATTTCGAACGGTAGTTGTGTGTTTGATATATCAATGATATTCAATGTAGAAAATTGCATTTTTGATCGCAAGCTCTCTTAGAATATTTGTTGCTCAATGCTGAGCAGAGTTGCAGGGAATATCCTGATACCTGAAGAAGTTACATTTCAGTCGATCTTCATAAAATGTTCCTCATTTGGGCTCCCGGTGCATGCCTGTTCAACTCTAGCCAGAATGTGGGGAAAGTTTTGACCAAATAATTTTTTATCTTGTCATTATTATATATTTTTTTACAAATATAATGCATAATATTGTATCATGACTGCAGCAGTGTGATGGTTGTGGGTGAGAAGCCTGCCAGCCACCGTGCACTGGGGGTGTCACTACAACCTACACTGGTGTTAACAGCTATCGGGAGGTGTAAAGGACTTCACTGAGGACGATGCAGGTATAGATGGAAGTTACTATAATTCGGAGAACGCCGGATATTGCTGAAGGCCCCACCCAGCCTGAGAGCATAAACCCACAGCCTAGCCAGGCTACGCCTTACTCTTCCACTGATTACATTGTTTCCAGGGTACTAGACCCGTGATATTAAGTTAGCTATATTTTTTCCACTGCAGCTTCTCAAAAAAAAAAAATTCTTTTCTTTTTAGGGTCTGATGTTGTGCTCCGGTTAACATTGTGTCTACCGGATAAATTTGAAACTAGCATGTGACACTCATAAACTGATGCTTAACCTGGTAATAAGTTATAAAAAATAATTGATATAAATAGTGGTTTGGTTAGCAGGAAACACGACTAGATTAGAAAAAAATATTACCGTATTATTATTATTGATCGATGTTAGTTTTTCGAAGTGACTACAATCAGTTCAGATCTTTTGTTTTGAAATGGTGACGGAGAACTAAGCAACATTTTTATTATAACGAGACCTGGAGTTTACCTGGAGAGAATTTCGGGGGTCAATGCCCCCGCGGCCCGGTCTGTGACCAGGCCTCCTGGTGGATCAGCGCCTGATCAACCAGGCTGTTGCTGCTGGCTGCACGCAAACCAACGTACGAGCCACAGCCCGGCTGATCAGGAACTGACTTTAGGTGCTTGTCCAGTGCCAGCTTGAAGACTGCCAGGGGTCTGTTGGTAATCCCCCTTATGTGTGCTGGGAGGCAGTTGAACAGTCTCGGGCCCCTGACACTTATTGTATGGTCTCTTAACGTGCTAGTGACACCCCTGCTTTTCATTGGGGGGATGGTGCATCGTCTGCCAAGTCTTTTGCTTTCGTAGTGAGTGATTTTCGTGTGCAAGTTCGGTACTAGTCCCTCTAGGATTTTCCAGGTGTATATAATCATGTATCTCTCCCTCCTGCGTTCCAGGGAATACAGGTTTAGAAACCTCAAGCGCTCCCAGTAATTGAGGTGTTTTATCTCCGTTATGCGCGCCGTGAAAGTTCTCTGTACATTTTCTAGGTCGGCAATTTCACCTGCCTTGAAAGGTGCTGTTAGAGTGCAGCAATATTCCAGCCTAGATAGAACAAGTGACCTGAAGAGTGTCATCATGGGCTTGGCCTCCCTAGTTTTGAAGGTTCTCATTATCCATCCTGTCATTTTTCTAGCAGATGCGATTGATACAATGTTATGGTCCTTGACAATAGGCGTCTTTGCCTAACAACCAGAACCGTTGAATACAACCCATACTTAACGTTGTTTTAATTTGAAAATTTTTAGAGTAAATCCGTGTTCATTAAATTCAGTATATGATTTATGGACATCTGAAGTAAATTTTTTTTACCGGTAAATTGCAAACTAATTATCAATGAAATATTTATGAAAACAATACACGCAGAACTCTAGTGTGAAATGTAGTGTTTTTTCTCTGGAGACGTTGAAGAGGAACTTCATGTGCCTTACAGCTATGTTAAATAGTCAGTGATAGTAAAGCAGAACACTAGTAAAGAAATAAAAAAAATTGCGAATAAAATTCCTTCCTCCACTGTAGACACTTAACAGGATTGTAGCATAATAAAGACTGTTAAACTGGTGGCTACTCACTTGTCTTACAAATATTCATATTAGAATTTTCAGTGTTAAAAAACATCTCTAATCCCCTCTCGTTCGAAGTGTCAAAATTTGGAAGCTTCATATGATATGAACTGTTCACGAAGAATTCTATTTTTTTTTAAGAAACAAACAGGAAATAATGGCTAGAGAATGCATGTGCAATTCTGAAGAATGAAACACTTATGCAATATTTGAGAAACTTTAGTGTCTCATTCTTCAACTTATCGGTTTTCTAAACCAATTACATCACATGTACAATTCTACCATGAAAGTCTGTGATGCATGTGCAGCCTATGATGAGGCTGTGAGTAGCCGAATAGATAATGAATGCTTGTTTAGTATATGATTCTGTGCATTACAGGAGATTCTAAGGACAAATAAATTTTTATAAGTTTTTAGAGGCACATAATTTAAAAAATAAATACCTTCTTTGGAATATCGCCAATGAAGCACCAGTAGAAGAAGAAGGAAAGAAAACCATGAAGTTCTCGAGGCTTCGAAGCCTCCAGGTGTTTATCTCAAACAATGCTGTGTTCTAAATTGATTACCAGCACGTCATTCCTCCCTCATGCCTGTCATTAAGAGGTTATATTTATAGACTTATTGGGCATTACACATAGTTTTCGAGATTTGATCGTTTCACCTACATCACGATGTGTGTTAATTTGTCCTTAAAGCAGCCACAGGGTATGCAGGTGTACGATAGATTCTAACTATGTTATCGACACACTCCCGTGTAACTGTCACCTCTAGCTTCGAAGTTTCAAGCAGTGGGACAACGAGGATTTCATTTTGACAACTTAAAAATCACGAGATGCTAAAAAAAAATAGGAGAAATTTTTTTTAACATGATTTTCAGTATACGTACATGTGAAATTTCCTAGCCTATTGTGTTTTCATGGTCACTTTTTCAGTATAATACAGTGAAAATTAGTCATTAACTGAGAGCAATAAAAAGTTTGCAGTGGAGAAGGAAGGGGGAGCGTCAGCCCCATTAACCTCTCTCCCCACCCTGTCCTTGGCTGTGCCACTGGTCTTGAGTGCCACAAGTGTCTCATTAGCAAAGCAGACATGTGATAATATTGTATTTCCTGTGTCCTCTCAAAGTTCTCTCAACGAGGACGAACATTTTATCCATATACTTTCCCAGCTCTTTACAAAAAAATAAGAATTGTATTGGTACACTGGAAAATTTCAGATAAACCCAATTTTGACAAGTAACAGTGAGACAGCACCATATTTTGGTCTTAATTTGGGAACCCTCTTCGAGGAGATGAAACAGTATGTGGATGGAGGAGACAGTATATTGATAGGACCTACAGGTTAGATCAGAATATGCCAATTCACTGTTAATGCCTTGGTAATGTCTGGTTTTCCTTGTTCATATGAGATGCTGAAATGCAGGATGGCTACAAAAACAGTTCATAATCTAAATGGTCTAAAATATTACCCTCATAATAAATGTTAGAGCTATCTTAAGAATATCTTATAAATTACAAGTGTCCTGTGATTCTGGTGAGAGGGTTAACATAACATGGGAATATTCTAACCATTTTTATCAAAGGCTGTTATCTCCTTATGTTTTGGCTTAGACTCTCATTATAGGTTATTATTATTTACCTTACTATTTTATACAGTGTGTCTAGTTCAGCGTTGTACGTAAATTGTCGAGAGTACATGTAAATCATTTACAAGACTTTTATAGAAAAACCTAAATGTACAAAAAATAAAAATTGTATGCTTTGATTTAACTTTTATATACAAAAGTGTGTGTGAGTGCTCATACACATCCATATATATATATATATACATATATATATATATATATATATATATATATATATATATATATATATATATATATATATATATTTTTTTTTTTTTTTTTTTTTTTTTTTTCAACAAGTCGGCCGTCTCCCACCGAGGCAGGGTGACCCAAAAAAAAAGAAAGAAAATCCCCAAAAGAAAATACTTTCATCATCACAGTAAACAGGTGATATCAGAATATACAAAACAAACATTGTGAAAGAATAGTGAAATTCCAAACGCTTTCGTGACTTCAATATTATCAAGGAACAATGTTCCTTGATAATGTCATAGTACATATATATATATATATATATATATATATATATATATATATATATATATATATATATATCATATATATATATATATATCATATATATATATATATATTTTATATATATATATATATATAAAATATATATATATATATATATATATATATCATATATATATATCATAGAATTGATGAGGGAAAAAAGGTGAGTGGTGCGTTGAGGTATATGTGGAGTCAAAAAACGTTATCTATGGAGGCAAAGAAGGGAATGTATGAAAGTATAGTAGTACCAACACTCTTATATGGGTGTGAAGCTTGGGTGGTAAATGCAGCAGCGAGGAGACGGTTGGAGGCAGTGGAGATGTCCTGTCTAAGGGCAATGTGTGGTGTAAATATTTTGCAGAAAATTCGGAGTGTGGAAATTAGGAGAAGGTGTGGAGTTAATAAAAGCATTAGTCAGAGGGCAGAAGAGGGGTTGTTGAGGTGGTTTGGTCATTTAGAGAGAATGGATCAAAGTAGAATGACATGGAAAGCATATAAATCTATAGGGGAAGGAAAGAGGGGTAGGGGTCGTCCTCGAAAGAGTTGGAAAGAGGGGGTAAAGGAGGTTTTGTGGGCGAGGGGCTTGGACTTCCAGCAA